CAAGTTTTTCTCGTCGAGTATATTTAAATTAATCATCGACAGGTTTATCTTTGTTTTCATAGCAAAACTGTTGACCAAGAAGTTGTGAAAAATCCGCTTTGCAATACGTTTCGTCGTCTTCAATTATGCACATATTTTTATCCGCCATTATTTTAACCAACTTCTTTGCGCGTCGAATTCCTTTAATTTCACAATTTAAGCTTCTCTTAGGTATATTTTTTTTATGAAATGCTTTAATTCCAGCATTTTTAAATACTTTTTTGATATAAGAACGAGAAGTCTTAAATTTTCTTGCTAGATCTCGCTGTGACTGATTTGGATTTCTTGCTATTGAACGTAAAATCGACTTTCCTTTTTTGGATTTATGGAAAGTTTTTTTACTTCCACTTCCAAGTTTTCTTTCGAAGCTTTGAGTTGTCTTGAACGTGTTTATAATATCTATGACTAGAGATTTTGGGACATTTGTGCGTTTAGCAATCGAGCGATAGGAAGTCGATGGATTTTTGCAAAAAAAATTCACAACTTTTTTACGCACCTCAACTTGTTTCCAAAACATTTTGCAAATCATTAATTTGTAAACAAAAATTTTTCAACACCATTTAAGATAAGGAAGTAAGGTTTAATTAAAAAAAAAAGCATTTGTGGTTTTGGAGAAATCTCAATTTAAAGATGACTGGACTTTTCCGTGTCCACCCGATTGACAATACTTTTTTAGGGTTAAGACTGCCTCCCTGATTCCTACAGCAAAAAAAAACTTTAAAATGCTGGTGGTAATATTTTAAAGAGTGCATCTGATCAAAAAGAAGGTGAATGACGTCAACTGTTCGAACATTCGATTCTTGGAAATTAACAAGTGGAAGAAGAAGTTTATAAAATTGTTATTTATAAAACTCAGCACAATTATATTATTAAAAAATTTAAACGGTTTATTATTTTTTTCTTATTCTCAAGAAGTTCTGTGAAAACATAAATTTGAACCTTACGTTTAAGTAAAGCCATGTAAAAACACGTATTTTAGACTTCGAAATGAGAACGTCTAAATTAGGTTATTTAAAGACGTCATTTAGCGTTTCCATTTAGCACTAGTTCTAAACGTCCCTAACTCACGTTTTTTTAGACGTCTAAAAACACGTCTTTATTCCGTCCTAAAAAGACGTCCTAATTACGTCTTAAAAAGACGTCATCTGGCGTTGCCATTTAGAACCAGTTCCGGACGTCCTAAAAAGACGTCCTTTCGTCCACTGGGTTTAATTGATTTGGCATTGTGGCAATTTACTAAATCCAACTTTACTAAATCAAACTATCCATTTTACAAAATTTAACCTGAATTTATATGGGATAACAATCCATTAACATTTTATTACTCAAATTACAAGGAAATAATTCTTTTCTTTAAAGGTAATAATTATATAAAATAGTGACACTTCTCATATTTGTTGACAATTTAGATAAAATTTAATGACACATTATTACTAAAGATTTTTACTGCTCTTCAAAGCCCTTTTCTCTCTTCCATAAAATTTACCTCTGACTAGCCTCCCAAACTTTTTATTTGTCAATTATTTTAGTTATCTTATCTAAACTTTTATATTTTTTAGTATCTTATTTTTATAAAAGGTATCTTTATAAAAGCTTTTCAAACATTCTTAACATTTTCATGCATTTTTTGACACCTTTAAATAGTAAACCAATATTTTTGGTCTGTTTAATGAAAATGGTAGTTGTAGCAATAAATCACAACAAAAGTTGTTGTTATTAAATAATTATTTAATAATGGTTAATTTTCAAAATTATTTAATGATGGTAAATTTTCAAAATAATGGTTACATGAGTGTTCTATTATAATATAACACTCATGTAACCATTATTTTGAAAATAGTGACCGAATATCACAGTAATTGGTAACGTTTTAAGGTATAAGTAGCAAAAAACTAAAAATATATAAATTAAAACTGCCATAAATCCTTAACCACTAAAATCCGGCAGAATTTTTATTCAGTGTTTGGTGCGACCATATACTATATTTGCATTAATTTTAATTAAATTATATAAAGTGGTTCTCATTTTACAGGTGCTTTTATTGTCGCATTATAAAGTCAAAATTTTACTTAATTTGAACACTCAAATTAAATTCTTTTCCGCGGGAAAATTTCAAAATTTGCATTACAGAGTACCCTGATGTGTACATATGACCTATAGAAATCCTATAGAATTCTATAGAATTCTATAGAATTTCTATAGAATCTCTGTTAACTTCTATAAAAATTCCTATAGAAATATTTTTTCTACGTTTTTTCTATAGAAAAAAAAGCTTTATAGCAATTATTATAGAAGTTAATAGACATTCTATAGAAATTCTAAAGAGTTTCCATCGGCCATATGTTTCAAAAGTTCATAGAAATTCTATAGAACTTTTTTTCCTCGGTAACTATGATTACTTATATACAACTGTATCTGTTCCTACTGTTATAAAATTGAACTGTTATAACATTGAACTTATTATAACATTCTAATTTTATTCAACAATAAAATGGTTTTGCCACAGAGTAAAATAAACAGTTTCTGTTGCCATTTTCTACAAATGTAAACAATTAAAATATTACATCTTTATTTCTTTTTAAAAGTTTTATTCTTTAAATTTAAGCTTGAATTAAAGAAGATCTTGTAAGTTGACTCTACTGTCTGTAGAATCAACTATAATACAATATAGGAGACTCTTCTATAATATAGTAGAGCCCTCAAAAAGTAAAGTTTTAGGAAACATAGTTGAACTAGTTAAATTTGGAATTTATGGAATGATTTTTTAAGATTTGTTGAATGTCCTTAATTATTTAAGTTAAGTTAATTTAAGTTAAAGTCATGTTTAATTAACTTTCTGTTGGTCAAGCGAAGCTGGTCGTTGCTGTTGTACACGTTGGGTACAAAAACTGAAAAGTCTAGGCTTTTCTTTTTTACAATTTTTCATCGGATCTTCTTGCAGATAATACAATAAATTCTTGATAATAATACTTTAATATTATTCAATATTGATACTTTTGCAAAAACCTCGTCTTAATGCAAGTTATACAGAAATTGTTTCAGATATAGGCATATTTTATCAGCATATTTTCAGCATATTTTTAGCTTTTTATCAGCATAATTTCAGCTTTTGAAGAGAGACGTTTAGAGTTCCTATATGCAGGGCCGACGACACGGGTTTCAAAGTGGAGGGGGGGAGCACAACCGTCTAATTCATAAAAAAAGTCTTTTATATCTAGAATTTTCTTAAAATAACTTTTACAATTATTTTTTTGTTAGAATAATTTTCTTTTAGAGCATCTTATTGTTTATTTGTTTTAAATGTTCAATTAACAAAATTTGTTTTTTATTTTGTGTAAATTTCATGATCTTTGTTTTTTTAAATGTTAAATGTTTTAAAATGTTTTCTAAACTAAACACAATTTAAACCACTAAATAAAAAATTTTAATTAGAGTAAATTGAATTTTTTTTTTTAAAGATGTTATGCTATAACTTAATCATAGATGCTGTAGAAATTTTTTGTCAAATTTTTTAATGTTGTCATTTCCTTCGTTGTTGTTTATAGTAATAAAATTAAATGTTGAATAACTTATTTAGATCGTAAAAATATAAAAATTGAAATCTTTGGATTTCAATTTTTACATTTTTACGATCCTGATATCATCGGCTTTCAAACGCCATATCATATTTTTCCGGGTCAGCTCAAAGAGGTTATCTTGATTTTTTGTCAGGAGTGTATTGGATTGTAATAACAGGAGTGTATTGGATTGTAATAACAGGAGTGTATTGGATTGTAATAACAGGAGTGTATTGGATTGAGAATTCTTCTTACATTACCGATAACAACGACTAGTGTGGAAAGATCTTTTTTGAAATTAAAACTATTTAAGATCAATAATAGGCCAGGATATATTGAACAACGTTGCAACGGTTTCGATTAAAAATAAAATTGCTGCTGATTTAAATATTTAAGATATACGAATAAAATTTGTGAGTGTTGTGAGGTTGTATGGTAACAAAAGATAACAATTTTGTGTTTCAATAAGGCAATGATGCAAAGCACACTGCTTAAACTACAGTTTTTTTAACAAAAATGGCGGAAAGATTTAATAGCCTTCACAGAGCTCTTAATAGAATTTAATAGTGCACTTATGGACTTTCTCAGATTAAAATTTTTATCTGTGGTTCGTAAACCATGGTCTAACATTGACAATAATCAAATCAATGATCTAGTAAAATTAATGCCAAAATGCTTCCTAGATAAGTAAGACAAAGGAGGACCAACTAAATATTAAATTATAGTAATATTATAAAATAAAAACGATTATGTTTGTCAGTTAATTTAATAAACTATTATATTTTCTTAGGTTTAACCTATAACGCTTTTCTTGTACAGTTATTTTACGTGCTAGCATTTTGAGCCCATTCTTTTAGTTTTAAATTCATAATCACGTAATTTAAAAAATTAAAAAATAATTTTACAATTTTGTCAAAGGTTTTCTAATAAATGAAAAATCTGAGAAAAAAAAGTTTTTTATAATTAGTGTATGATACAATATTTTATTCAAAGATGTTAGTTTTATTGGAAAATGACTCTGCACGATTAAATTATTTTCTCACTGTATATATATTTATATATGTATTTAAAATTTTATTTAAAACTCCTAATTTTAAACTATTTAAAATTAAAAACTTTTAAAGAAAGTGTTGGAAAAGACCTTTATTAAAAGAACTGAACCAAAAAATTGTATACGTTTGACCCTGGCAAATTACTCTATATAAAACGTTATAAAAAGTATACTTTTTCAAAAATTTGTTTTAGAAAAAAAACTTTCAGTTGATGTAGTTTAACTTTGTTCAATTAAAATATAAAATTGACAAAAATTGAACAGTAAAAAATATTATTTCATTTAAATTATTTAATCTTATACATACAATTTTTTTAAAAAGACAAACATTTTTTTTAAAAAGACAAACAATATATGCAAATAGCGACATTTAATAAATACTATACAAGCTTTCATGTAAAGACAATACAAACACAGTGCAACATCAGTACAAATTCTGTGCGAAAAAAAAAATAGTGCAACCATGGTATCTATATATGGCTATAAATTATGTTTCTGTACAATTGGGATGATAGAAAAAACAATGTTACCTCCCAACGTACTTAGTCATTTTCATCATCATTTGAATCCTCAAAATCATTTTTTGAATTAGCATTTTCATCTTCATTGTTACTTATTTCTGTATCTTTTTTAGATAACTTATTTTGACAGTCACAATCTTTATACTTTTTATTTATTTTACATGTACAGATATTGCGAGTTGGACAACCATTAGGACATACGTCTTTAGAAGGACACTCAATAGGGCAATTTTGAAGTGGTAACATTTGTTGCTGTTGACAGCCTTGTGGGCAAGAGGATCCTTGACATGGTAAAGGACACATACTAGGTGATATATTGTTTGTTATTGGACAATTTATTGGACAAGTAGGCGGAACACAAGGTTGAGGACACATGTTCTGAGGTAGTAATGTCTGCGTTTGAGGACAACCTGGTGGGCAGTTGGAAGCTGGACAAATTTGTGGACACATTCTGTTCATAAAATCAGTAATTTTTGGTTGTATTGTTTGCATTGCTTGACGTATTATAGAAGGAATGTCCCATTGTGAATTGCATCCACTAGGACAAGATGAGCCTTGGCATGGATAAGGACAAAGAGAAGGATATGTATTCATTGTTTGAGGACAGTGATTTGGACAAAATGGCGACTGACACGGTTGAGGGCACATTTGTGGCTGCTGAACTGTAGATAATTGACAGCCAACAGGGCAAGCTGCACCTAAACATGGAAAAGGGCAAGCCGATGGCATACTTGACATTGTTTGTGGGCAATGTAATGGGCAGGATGGTGCAGCACAAGGTTGTGGACAAAATTGGTTCTGCATTGATAATTGACATCCTATAGGACAACTTGCTCCTTGACACGGATATGGACACATTATTGGTGTACTGGCTAATGTTTGTGGACAAAATGACGGACATGAAGGTGGTACACATGGTTGAGGGCACATTTGTGGTTGTTTTTGTTGTTGTTGATTCATAATTAGTTGACATCCAACAGGACAACTTGCTCCTTGACATGGATTTGGACACATAGCTGGTGTACTGGATAGCGTTTGCGGACAATATGATGGACATGTTGGTTGCAAACATGGCTGAGGGCACATTTGTGGTTGTTGTTGTTGGTTTGTAGTAAGTTGGCACCCTATTGGGCAACTTGCTCCTTGACACGGATTAGGACACATAGCTGGAGCACTTGCAGATGTTTGTGGACACCCTGATGGACATGTTGGAGCCATACAAGGTTGTGGACAATATTGTTGTTGCTGTTGTTGTATGATGTTAACAATTCCTTCGGCAATAGAACATCCTATTGGACAAGTTGGAGGAAGACATGGTTGTGGACATCCTGATTGTTGTAAAATATCCCCTAACAACACTTGAGGAGAGAAATATAATCTTCTTGGGGGCTGTTGACAACCCGGAGGACAATTTGGTGGTTGGCAAGATTGAGGACACAGTTGCTGTTGCTGCAGTTGTTGAGAATTTGCGGATTGTTGACATCCTTGCGGACAACTTGCTCCCAGACATGGATTTGGACATGTTGGTGGTGTATTGAATAAAGTTGGTGGGCAAAATGATGGGCACGTAGGTGGCAAACAAGGTTGAGGACAAAATTGTTGTTGCTGTTGTTCTTGTAATATATTAAGGACTCCTTCAGAAATAGAGCATCCAAAGGGGCAAGATGGTGGAAGACATGGAAGTGGACAAGCAGATTGCTGTATTAAATCACCAAGCATTACCTGAGGAGAAAAGTACATTCTTCTAGGAGTTTGCTGACAACCTTGAGGACAGCTTGGTGGTTGACAAGGTTGTGGGCACATAGAAGGAAAATTATTACTAGTAACTGGGCAATTACTTGGACATTGAGGTTGCACACATGGCTGAGGGCACATTATTTGTTGCAAACTTTGTGATTGTTGACATCCAAATGGGCAAGTAGCTCCTTGACAAGGGTTTGGACATGTTGTTGGCGTAGTTGCTGATGTTTGTGGACAATACGATGGACAGGATGGTGGTGCGCAAGGTTGAGGACAATACTGAAGCTGGGGTTGTGATACTATTTGAATGGCTCCATCAGATATCAAACATCCAGCTGGACATGTTGGTAAAACACATGGTTCTGGACATCCAGATTGTTGGATAATGTCCCCAAGCATAACTTGAGGAGAAAAGTACATTCTTCTTGGAGTTTGTAGACAACCTTGAGGACAGCTTGGTTGCTGACAAGGCTGCGGGCATAGTTGTGGAAAAGTATTATCAGTAGTTGGACAGTTGCTTGGACAAAGTGGTGGATTACAAGGTTGTGGGCACATTACCGTTTGCTGAGGCTGTTGCTGCTTAATAACCGATTGTTGACATCCAATAGGGCAAGTTACTCCTTGACATGGATTTGGACACATAGCTGGTGTGTTTGCTAACGTTTGTGGACAAAATGAAGGACATGACGGTGCTACACAAGGTTGAGGACAAGATTGTGTTTGAGGTGGTGATTGGACAATACTAATAGTTCCTTCAGATATTGAACATCCGGCAGGACAAAAAGGGGCAAGACATGGCTGTGGACATCCAAACTGTTGCAATAGATCTCCAAGCATTGATTGAGCTGAAAAGTACATTCTTCTCGGTGACTGTTGACAGCCTTGAGGACAACTTGGTGGGTTACACGGTTGAGGGCACATTGACGGCAAAGTGTTGCTTGTCACTGGACAATTGGTAGGGCACAAAGGTGGGTTACATGGCTGAGGACACAAGATCTGTGTAGATTGTTGAATCTGAGTTTGCTGGCATCCTGAAGGGCAACTTACTCCACGACAAGGATTTGGACACATAGCTGGTGCATTTGCTAATGTTTGCGGACAAAATGCTGGACATGTGGGTGGTGTACACGGCTGAGGACAGTATTGTGAACTAGGAGTGTTTAAACAAAAAGATGGACAAGAGTTCGGTAAACATGGTTTTGGACAGCCATTTTGGGAGTTAAACAGTTTTAATACAGGACCTTGAGAGATGAGGCATCCTAAAGGGCAGCTTGGTGGAGTACACGGTTGTGGACATTGATTAACTGGTAATTGAGGGCTTTGAATTTGTAAGCCACATCCTAATGGACATCCTTGTTGAGGACACGGGTATGGACACATTGTTGGAAAAATAGAAGTTGTCATTGGGCATCCGTTTGGACAATTTGGTTGTTGACATGGTTGTGGACACATTTTTTGAATTAATCCAACATTCATGGTAATTGGACAACCTTGCGGGCATTGTTGTCCTTGACAGGGTTGAGGACATATTGATGGATTTCGGGCTATTGTAGTTGGACAACCCTGAGGACAGTTCGGAACTTGACAGGGTTGAGGACATAAAAGTTGTTGAGTAATTGTACATCCACTTGGGCATGATTGTTGAAAACATGGGTTTGGGCAATTATTTGATTTTGTAGGTGGGCCGATATAAGGAGTACATCCTGATGGACATGGGTTGAAACATGGGTTAGGACAGTTATTTGTGGGATTCAGTGATTGAGTTAAAGGGAACATTTTGGGTTCTACTAAACTAACACTAAAACTATTTGTTGTAGGACATCCAATTGGACAACTTTGAACTGGACAAGGGCGTGGACATGATAAAGGAAATGACGCTGATGTAATAGGACAACCTACAGGACAACTTTGTCCATTACAAGGTTGAGGACATAAAAGTTGTGTGGTCGGTAACATCATCTGTAACTGACATGCTATTGGACAAGAGTTTTGCAAACAAGGTTGCGGACAAATTGGACGTGGTGTGTTTTGGTATCCTGATAATGTTTGTTGACATCCAGGTGGACAGCTATTTGGTAAACAATTTTGTGGACATGCATTTTGATACATTTGCGGTATACAATCACTGGGACAATTAGGTGCGCAATTTTGCGGACAAAATTGAGTTACTTTAAGTTGTTGGGTTTTATCTATGCATGGGTATTGGCACGGAAAAGGACAAGAAAATGGACACGGTGGTTGTCCCATTATTGGATCCCAACTTGCCGCAAGCATATTGTATATAAATGGATCAACTATTGATAACCGTTGTGATTCTAATTTAACTCCTAACCTTGGATCTGGTTCAAGTGTTAAAGGGCTAGGATCTGGTGGAAACGGTTTATTTTGCTTTATCAAATCATCTAACTTATATTTGCACTCTTTTTGGAACTTTTCTGGATAACTTCCATCAAATATTTTTATTGTTCCTAAACAAAAATAATTTTAAAAATAATAATTATTAGTTATAATTTTTTTTTTCTAAAAATCAATTTAAAAAATGTGTACAAATAAAAATACTTCTATATAACAAACGTTAAATTTTTTATTCTATCCTTAATTTATCATTAATTAGAAGTACCTTTATTACGTATTTTCACTCTAACATAAAAGTACATGTTTCTTAATGTAGCTTAAAGCAAAGCTATAGTTCAAAAAAAATATTTGTTATCAAAACTAAAGCTCAAATTTAAGATTTGTTCTAAACCAATCAGTAACTGTATAACGTTAACTGTTATTATTATTATTGTTGTTGTTGTTGCTGTTGTTGTTGTTATTGTTGTTGTTGTTGTTGCTGTTGTTGTTGTTGTTGTTGTTGTTGTTGTTGTTGTTGTTGTTGTTGTTGTTGTTGTTGTTGTTGTTGTTGTTGTTGTTGTTATGATTATTTTTATAATTACTATGATTATTGCTGATTTTTGTGCCATAGGTGAAAAGTAATACGAATAAGAACTGAATTGTACGTGAATTAGCATTCACACATGCTCCAATTTGACATATTAATAATGAGGAATTTGAGGCTTGTCTCAAAAACCATTGCCTCATGATATTGTCTGATGGTCCGGAAATTTTTTTTTATGTTTCATAAAAATGAGGATTATTAACGTAGTTTCTAATCACAAATTTAATGGCAGTCATGTTTGCTGACGACACTAACCTTTTTTTTATCTGAATATAATATATCAACATATTTCAAAATATGAATATTAAATTAAAGTTTCTGATTCGTTTAAAATGAATAAGCTTTTACTAAATGTTGAAAAAACAAAATGGTTACTCTTTTATCTTCTAAAACAAAACAACTACCTCTTGATTTACTTTTTATTGATAAAATTCAAATAAAAAGAGTAACTAGTACAAATATGTCAAAATCACTTCATTAACATGCTTGCAGCAACTTATCTTATAAGTTGCTGCAAGCATGTTAATGAAGTGATATAACAAAATATTCGAAAGTTTCCTTGATTGGAATATGAAAGTTTTTCCTTACCTAATTAGTGTTGTGACCATAACTAAAAATTGTAACTAACTAAACTAAAAATACCGTAACTAAAATTAGTTGACTAACTTTTTAGTTAACTATAATCAGTCGACTAACTTTTTAGTTAACTAAAATTACGCGACTAACTTTTTAGTTAACTAAAATTACCCGACTAACTTTTTAGTTAACTTAAATTAGTCAACTAACTTTTTAGTTAACTAAAATTACCCGACTAACTTTTTAGTTAACTAAAATTACCAGACTAACTTTTTAGTTAACTAAAATTAACCGACTAAGCTTTTTGTTAACTAAATATACGCGACTTTGTTTTTAGTCCAACTAAAGAATTTTATAAATATATAATATAAATAATTTGGGTACATGATATCATTTCTATTAGAATTTTTGAATAAGATTGCGAATGCATAATCATTTTATCGCATAATACCGCAAAAATAAAAAAATATCAAAATAATTTACTTCAAGAAAATATTATAAACAAGATACTTCAAGAAAATTTTTCATAAAAAATCCAAAAAGTAAACATAGTAAAACACAAATATCTATAGAATTGAATAAGCTACCAAGGCCAAAAAAGGGGTATAAGGATGGATTGGTTGGTTTCGTGTGTGACATCCCATCAATCAACTATTAGCTCATTTAGTAAGCCAATTTGACTCTTTTAGATAAGTAAGTTGGCAATTTTCAGAACAGTCAGTTGGTAAATAAAAACAAGATTTTTTTTTTCCTATTTCTAGCAAGTAAAATTTTAATGGCACTCTCTACGTGTTACCTACTTGTGCCGGCCCTGTAAGCTACAGTATATTACAATTACTTGGTTTTATTATGTGCCACTTTTTTGGATCCAAATTATAAAAGTTTTCAATTCTTTGAAAAGTACAAGGGAAAAAATTTTTTTAAATGTGTTAGAGAATTTTTGTCGAAATTTCATTAAACAAAAAAAGTTTGTGATATAATTCTATTTAAAAAGGTGACAAACAAATTAAAAAATTTAAGTTATCATTTGACGATGAAGATGATATTTCCGGAAACGATTGTGACAAAATAATAAGTTTAGATTTAAAAAGAGAAATTAGTGGTTATATAAAATTGTCAGTAAATGAGCAAAATGTTTTTACACTTTTGGTATCAAAATTAACATCTATATCCAATAATGAATTGTATTTCAACAATGATTTTATGTACGCCTGCTACCTACCAGTGCACCAAGTGAACACCTTTTCTCTGAGGCATTAAACACTTATGCATGCAAAGCGAAACGTATGCAAACTTATACTTACGTATGCAAAGCAAAACAGAATAACAACTGAATGTTTTCAATTATTGATGTTTTTGTACGAAAATTTGGAATTTTTTAATTTAGTTTAAATTCATTAAATATAATACTGAAGTTTTTTCTTGTAATAAATATTTTTTAATATGTTTATTGTTCTAAAAGAAATATTATTAAATTTAGTATTCGAACTCTTTTGAGTAAAACTTTTTTTTTTTGATACAAAAAATTAAGAAAATAATATAGTTTTTTAAATTTAAAATGTGTTAAAAAAAAAACGATAAAGAAAAAATTGAAAATTAAAAAAATTAATGTGTGATTTTAATGTTCTTGAGCGTGCGGTTTTATTATAATGTTGCCTAAAACAGCAAACTTTTTTACCTTTATTATTTTAATAGTTTGGTTGTTTGTTTTTTTTATATTTATTTATATACTCTTTAGTATTTTTTTAAACATCTATCTAATGAAAAAATATAAAAATAAATATAATAAAAAAGTTATTGAATTTTAATTTATAATTGTTTCGACCCGGTTTTACACGTATTTTAAAGTGCTTAAAAACTACGTATTGCATTTTTCAAGTAATTAAAATGTCATAAACAATTTCCTGGTTTTAAAAGCGAACGCAGTTACTTAATAAAATGTTTTCGTTATTCAACAGTTAAGTATTATTTAATACATTTTATACACTATTCAACAACTTATATTGCGGATATTGCATTCAAAAATGCAAATACCAATTTTCCTTTTAAATTTTGCAGGTATCGCCAACCGACGAACAACTATACTCTGAAAGCAAAAAAAATAAATTCATAATAACTTATTTAACGATTTTCTTTTGGGTTCATGTCAATACTTTCGCCTGCCTTACTATAGTGTTTGCGGGTTGTAATAGCCGTTAGGAGAGGTTGATATTTGAAGAGGTGGGGAGGGGGAGTCATAGATTTGTTGTGAAAATTAGAGATTGAATCTATTCCTATAATACAGCAGGGGACAGGGGTGTACTGAACAACGAAGACGTAGGGGAAGGGGGTGCAAATGAAATAAGCTTTTTTACCATAAAAATCTCACCAAAGTAGGGCTTTTTTTTTATTTAAAAGCCAAGTTGCAGTTTTAACCGATTGAGTCTCAAATTTTCTAAATTACCGACAAAACCGACAGAATGTTGTAACCCCGGTAAGGTGCCCATACTCACGTCGGTACGGCCTTGGCAGGAGAAATTATTTTTGATTTGCGATTGTTATTGCACACTTCCTATAAGAAGCAGCACATAAAAAATTTAAGTTAAACGTTCAATAAGCGTACCAAGTTTGATGTAACTGACTAAAGGGCATTATTTGTATATTCCATGCTGATTGGGTGTTTATAAACAGTTGCAACAACTTCATAGGCAGTTGTCTCAGAGCTGGGAAAAATTAAAATAATCGAATTTCGCTTCAAAAATTACTTTTAAATAACAGTTTAGTTCGACTGGGCTCTAGGATTCACAACTAGTAAAGTGTTTAATTTCGATAAAATAATATTTATCGCCTTAATAATGCTTCCTCGTGTGTAAAATTTTTATGCGAAAGATTATTTCTTTTTTCAAGCACTAAATCTTGCTTTAGTCGACTAAATTTAGTTACACTAAATATTTAGTCGACTAATTTGAGTTAACTAAAAAGTTAGTCGACTAATTTTAGTTAGACTAAAAAGTTAGTCGCTTAATTTTAGTTAGCTAAAAAGTTAATCGGGTAATTTTAGTTAGCTAGAAAGTTAGTCGGGTAATTTTAGTTAACAAGAAAGTTAGTCGCGTAATTTCAGTTAACTAAAAAGTTAGTCGGGTAATTTTAGTTAACTAAAAAGTTAGTCGCGTAATTTTAGTTAACTAATAAGTTAGTCGACTAATTTTAGTTAACTAAAAAAGTTAGTTAACTAATTTTTAGTAGAGGTGGGAGTTTAGGTTAGTTTTAGTCTAACTAAAGATACTTAAGTAAATTTTTTTTAAAATTTACTTAAGTATCTTTAGTTAGACTAAAACTAACCTTAACTCCCACCTCTATACCTAATCAGTAATAAAATCAAAGGGTTGTAAAAATAGTTCCAGTACAATTAAAAAAATACTTAACAGCCATAAACCTTAAAAAAAATACTTGATTTAGTGATTTTTAATCAATAAATTAAGAAAACGTCTTAACAGTTGAAGCTTTATAAAATTTTTTGTTTGTAGACTTTAAATTTGTCAGGGTAATACTAATCCTATATTAAGTTTTGAAATAACTGTTTAATTTTTCACTGTAACGATCAAAATCATTTTTTACAAATTTTTTTTGATTTTACTGTTGTTTTTTTTTTTTTTTAAATAACCTGTTTTGATTAAGGAATCAAATTGTTCCAATTTAGGGAACCAGTTGCCTTGATTAGAACAAAATGGTAACTTTGCAAAAACAAAATTATTTTCAATAAAAGTGCAATCAATTAAGTCAAACTGTGGTTAAAAGTACAGTAGGATTGTCTGTTTGTGTTAATCAAATCATAAATGTTTTCATAGTTAAGCCATCTTTGGTTAATAAATATTTATTCCTTAAGTGTTCCAATTAAGGCAACTCTCCCCTACATAACGATATAATAAATAATGAAGTATGCGAAAATATGATTTAAAGTATACTTTTTTTGGTATAAAGTCTTTTAAACTTCACTATATGAAATCTAAAAATATTTAAAATTTCGAATTTATGATCTTGTCAAATGAATTTTGCAAAATGTACAGCAGGATAGTTTAAAAAATATTTTTTAAACATTTGAGAAATTCCTTGTAAATTTTTTTCAAGATCTCACACGATTGATTGATTCTCAATAAACTCAAATTCTTTACTTAAATTAAGTAAGTTTATTTGTTTGCAACTAAAGGACTATTTTATTGAAAAAGTTTAGTATTTACACATTTTTAAAAACTATTTAATATAATATATAAATTACTATCATGTAAATGAACATTTCATAATGTTTTTGGTATTCTCGCAATTGTAAAATTTAAAATATATGTAAAATTTACATATAGAAATTTGCAGAGTTTTTACTTTAACAAATAAAAAACAAAAAATTTCTGTATTCATTAATTTAGGAGCCTATATTTAAAAATTTTAAGTTGCTTATTTGATACACGGCGGAGAGGGGGGAGGGGGGAAGGGGCTTCAATTTCCATATAATTCCTAAAACCTCTTAATCCTGGATTTGAAATAAGTCCAAAATAGAAAGAACTTCTAAATTTACTTCTACTTTTGAACAATTTTATTATACAATAAACATTCTTTATTTAAAAATGATATTTTTGATAAGTTGGAAAAAAATTTTGACAACCGTACTATTTTACCGTAATAATTTTAAAGTGTTTTACGTGTTTTAATTTTTAACTGTAATAATTTTAACGTTTTTTACGGATCAAAACTTAGTATTTTTACGTTGGCGCTACTACTAGAAAGATTATCTTACAAAGCTTTAGCTTTTTTTACCATACCGACAATCATAATATCTTTTATCATTATATACACAAATAACCAACCTTTTATCATTTGTCCATTTGGATATACACACCAACATTCTCTTTTATGAGGTAAAGATTCAAATTCACACTGGTAGGATTGATAACTCCCATCATCATTGCAAGCAGGTTTTGATTGTATTGGGTTGTGCAATCTTCTGGTTTGGCAATCTGTTAGCTCTTGCTGAAAAAATTGACGGCGATTTCTTACCAATTGTATATCACTTAAATAAACTGAAAGACTATCTAAAAATAAATATTAAAAATAGTATTTATTATTTATTCAAGAAACTAATGCGAAAGGTAGTTTTACGTTTATAAGGGATATTTTTATATAATCTTCAGTTTAATATTTTGAGCTACATTTCTAATTATAGGAACATTTTTATCTCAATCTATTGTCTCAACCTATATATATATATATATATATATATATATATATATATATATATATATATATATATATATATATATATATATATATATATATATATATATATATATATAATATTTTTATATATATTAAATAGATTAAATAAAACATTAAATAGATTTTTCTTGTTTTAAATATATTTTGAAAATGGTGATATATTTTCCATTAAAGTGTTTGTTATGAAGAAAAAAATATGAAGAAAACAATAAAAAAAAGTTTGTAAAATAAATATAAAATGTTATATTTATATTAATTTTTATTTTCACATTAATTAATATGATTATTTCATAATTTTTGAAAGAACGTAATAAACATTTAAATCTGAATCTTAAACTTTATTTTTAATTTTTTTTTAAAGTGCAATAAAGATTCTAGAACTTTGATTGAAACTTTTTTAATAAAAGATTTTTTATAGTAATAGTAGTAGGTGTTGAAAAATGACCACCTGATTTAAAAAAAAATAAAAATAAAAATGAATACCTAATATAGCGGATATTCCAAGCGCCGTCACGTTGAAAGAAATAGAGAAGCTCATAAACGAATGATAGACGCAACGTTGTGGTTAGCGAAACAAAGTTTGCTATTCAGAAAACACAAAAAACATGAACCTTGTCGAGTGAGTAAAGATATAGCTAATAACACTGCCAATTGTTTTTAGGTGTTACCTTTACTAAACAAAATAACGGATCAAAAATGACCACCTGATATAGCAGATATTCCAAGCGCCGTCACGTTCAAAGAAATAGAGAAACTCATAAACGAATGATAGACGCAACGTTGTGCTTAGCAAAACAAAGTTTGCTATTCAAAAAGCAAAAAAAACATCAGCTTTGTTGAATGAGTAAAGGTATAGCTAATAACACTTTTTTAGGTGTTACATTTACTAAACAAAATAATTGGATTTGACAACTATCATAGGTATGAAAAGAGGATATTTAAATTACAATGTAATAATTTAATTTAATTGTTTTAGAAAACAGCAATCCAATAGCACTTGCTTAATTAATTTAACAAACAATTAATAATAAACTCAGTAGAAACCAAGCACACGATGAAGTTTCCGTGATGTCTGGAATTGAAAGTGAATTAAAAGCACTCAATAAATGCAATAACTGTTCATTGATGTACTGATGTGATTTTGAATTTGGTGAACATTGAAGCAATGTCAGTTGCAAAAAACATATGGCAGGAGAACTTGGGGGAAATGAAAGTGTTATGATCTAGCTACAATATTTGAATGTAAAGTCTACTTCAATGATTTGAATACATTTACATAGACTATTTAGTCACAATTAACTCTTAACCCAAACAACGGTTTTACGACTTTAGTATTACATTTATAAATTATAGTTGCTTTGATCTTGTAAAATTATTAAAGGAAAATATAGATTTTTATAGAAGTTTATTTGAAATTAACAGTAATACAATGCACATTGAAAAAGCAGTGGCAAATGATACTTTCAAAGATGAGCGGATAGCTAATAAACATAGTTAACCTCAGAGCCGACAACAGCAAGAGGGCCAAGGGGCACTTTCCCCACCCCTCTCCCCCTCACTTTTTCTTAAGAGGATTTTTTATTGAAATTGACGATTGTGTCCTCTTCCCCATTTGAAACCCGTTTCGTTAGCCCTGAACTCAAGCTTAAGGTCAATTTACTAATTAATTTAAAAGACAAAACCTCGGCTACTTTTACGTAATACCTTTAGTAAAAGTTTATATATATATATATATATATATTTATATATATATATATATATATATATATATATATATATATATATATATATATATATATATATATAATTAATAAACTTTCACAATATCTATTAGGTACACCTGTGGTAAGAAACCTTTAATTTGAGTTTACTATGTTAACATTTATATTCATTTTTTTAACAAAAATGAAGATGAATGTAAGTGAATGTTACAAGTTAGCCGTTATTATTCATAACTACTTTCAATATACTGGTATTAGCCCATAAAAATATAATAATAATACAAATAGAGGTGCTTATTTGAAATATAATTCGTAATGACTTATTTGAAAGATAAATTTATTTGAGTATTATAGATATAAAGTAAAAATAGATTAAAAAAAAATCAATTTAAACTTACCATGGCAAAAAAGTTGCAAGATAAAAATATATTTCACATTAAAAAGAATCATCATATGATTCTTATATCAATAAAAGGTTTTATTACTTAAAAATAAAATAAAGTGATAAAATGACCGGCGGACAATTCGGTCTCAAGTCTATTTATAAGTTCATCAACATTCTCTGAAATGGTGCTCGCTGTGAGTTAGCTATTAAAAAGCTGTATTTTTTCATAAATTCGTGGATGAATAGGCAAATCGACCATGTGGTGTGCACTTTTCTAGCCAAACATACTTTCGGTTGTCAAACAATCGCTCTTCCGCATGATCATACCATTGTTATATCTAACAAGATAATAATTATTAACTTTTTATATTTTTTTTTTATAAAATAAAAATACCTTATTTTAAACAGTAGTTTTGTAAAAATATAACAATTTATATTTTAAACAGATTTGAAATTTTAATAGAACAAACAAAATAAACTGGATTAAAAAAATTTTTTTTAAGAGTTTGTTTACAAAACAACAACAATTCACGCCTTCACTCAATTTATGCTTAAATAAAGTAAAATTGTGCATTTTATTGCAAATTAATAAAATAAACCCGCGCTTTTTGTAGGAAAATAATAGCATAAACCCGCGCTTTCTGTTGTAATTAATAGAATAAAACCGCGTTTTCGGTTAAGAATAAGCCGAATAACGTATTTAGACTTTTAAGTCTTATTTTCTTATCTTACTAAAATAGCAAAAAAATATATATAGTTGAAATTTTAAATTAATTAGTAAAGATTAAAAAAAAAAAAAAATAGAAAAACTGTTTATAGTATATTATAAAATGAAGCAAGCGTACATAGCGTATACGCTATGTACGCTTGCTTCATAATCAGGTATACCTGATTGCAAGCGTACCTGATTGCAATTTCCTCCTATAAAGTTCAAAGACTTATTGAAGTTAAAACAATTTATTATTTAAAAAAAATGCTAATCTTTGATCAATTGCCATTTGATAACCCAATGGGTCAGAAATCAGAACTAGGGTAAACCTCAGACTCAGAGTGAGAAAATGTAAAAAAATTCCTAATTTTTACGTTTTACTGAAATTATTTCTTGATACTTTTTTTAAAATCAAAAAATATTAGTTTGTTCATGTCTGGGTGTTTATATAAATCTACGGCTGTTAATTACAAACTTGATTTCAGATTTTTAATATGAAAGATTAAAGTTGCGAGAGCAATATTTATAAAAGAAAATTTCTATTAGTTAATAGAATTTTGTTTTACTTTTTATAAGTAAGGATTCGACAGTGATATCCCACATATTAGCTGGTGTATAAGATGAAAAAGATTTAAAAAGAGAAAACAAAAGATGTTCAACATTCGAATCTTATTTTGAAATGAACATTATACATAAGTATCATTTATATTTAGCAAAATGACTGTATACTAAAATGCTATTGAAAACATTCCTTGTTCTTTCTTTTGGATTTTCAACATTTTAGAAATGTTTATTTATATTAGACAATGTTTATGTTTTCACACAATAGTTTTATTAAAAGCTAAAAATAAAATTATGGCGTTGGTCCGGATATTCTTCACACATGTATGTATATATATATATATATATATATATATATATATATATATATATATATATATATATATATACAGGGGCGGATACAGGATTTTTTGAAGTTTGAAATAACTAACTTCCAGACATGGAGCGAACTCGAAACTTTTACATGTTTATAGTTATATCAAATATGGATACTTTGCAAAAAATTGAGATGATAGGAGCCTGGGAACAAAAAAGCCCCAAAATTTTTGCTACACCTGCCCCAAACGTGAGAGCAACAAGTTGATAAAATAAGTTTTTTACTTTTCTCAACTAAATCTATATTCATCGAGAAATTTTTAATTTTGTAAAACAATCTTTTAGCGTTCATTAATAATGGTCTTATAAAATTTGTAACCCCCTCAAATTGAGGGGGATTCAAACTTTATGTGGCTATAACTTTTGAACATTGAGAGATTATTGTATGAATTTTAAAATTTCTCAATGAATATAGATTTAGTTAAGAATAGTAAAAAAATTATTTTATCAACTTGTTGCTCTCACGTTTGGGGCAGGTGTAGCAAAAATTTTGGGGCTTTTTTGTTCCCAGGCTCCTATCATCTCAATTTTATGCAAAGTATCCTTATTTGATATAACTATAAACATATAAAAGTTTTGATTTCGCTCCATGTTTGGAAGTTAGTTATCTCAAACTTCAAAAAATCCTGCATCCGCCCCTGATATATATATATATATATATACATATAAATTTATACTATATATGAAAAAAAATTACACCCACACCTAGAGGTTACACTATACACCACAAATTTTGTAAAAAAAAACACTTTTGTTAATTTTTTATATCTAAATCTCTTCACAATTTAATTTATGTACTACTAATTTTTTAGGGTTTTTAGTTATATATACAGAGGTTCGATTATTTATTTGGGGGTCACGCAGGGGAACGCCGTCCCCCTGCATTCCCCCAAATAAATAATCGAACGCCGTTCCCCTCCTTATCCGAAAAATCAAGAAATTGTTCCGCTTTACTCAATATTTCTTTGCAAGCGTTCCCTCTCATTTTTATTATTATTATTTTTTTCTTTACAATAGGAATGTTCATAAATTACGCAACGCCTAATTTATCTCTTTAAAGTAGTATACCATTTTATTAAAATTATTAATTTTAAAAAAAATTAATTTATTATATTATTTTAAAAGCTATTTTAATTTTTGATAAAATTCATGACTAATATTAACTAGTTTTAGTCATCACGCGAGATCTCGAAATACAGCAAAAGTGCATCTAACAAAAATACACCAACATGAAAAATTTAAAGGAATGATTCTGCACCCGAATGGGCTATTCCGCATACCTTTTAACGCTGTTTCACTTCATTTACTAAATATTAGTATGTACTATTTGATTTACTATATACTATTTAATATATACATATATATAAATAAATAAATAATATATATATATATATATATATATATATATATATATATATATATATATATATATATATATATATATATATATATATATATATATATATATACCCAAGAAAGGAAGTTCTATAGAATTGTATATAAACTTTTGAAACATATGGCCTATAGAAATTCTATAGAAGTTTATAGAAATTTATAGAATTTCTTTAGAGTTTCTGTTAACTTCTATAAAAATTCCTATTGAAATTTTTTTATCTACTTTTTTTTATATAGAAAAAAAAGTTTTATAGCACTTCTTATAGAAATTAATAGACATTTTATAGAAATTCTATACAGTTTCTATTGGCCATATGTTTCAAAAGTTTATAGAAAATTCTATAGAACATTTTTTCCTGGGTATATATATATATATATATATATATATATATATATATATATATATATATATATATATATATATATATATATATATATATATATATATATATATATATATATATATATATATATATATATATATATATTTAAGAACTATATAAAATAAATAAAGATATAGCGTCAATTTATAAGATATTCAATAACTAAGATTAACATATTTAGTATTTTAATAATAGAATTGTAATTGCTTTGTATCAAAATCAAATAAATTTTGTTTTGTTGCACATTTAAAATGTTGTTTTTTTTTTTTTTTTTTTTTCAATGTTGATTTAGGTGCCCCAAGAAGTCCTTACGGTCTTATCACAGAGCACCGCGGAAGAGCATTTAATAGGAAGTTCACGCCTCCTTCCTAACCGATGTCGCAAAACTTGCCCAGAGGTGGGTTTGAACCACGGATCTTACGTTTCTTAGGCAAGTGCGCTACCACTGCGCCACGGCTGCTATCAGTTGAAGGTAAATTTTTTATATTACTTGTTAGAAACAAGTTTTGCAACCACAACTCTTTACAAGATATCAAAAAAACAGCTTGTTTTGATAAAAAGTTTGGTATAAAGTTATTTATTGAGTATTTCGTTTGGTATTTGTGGTTTGAAGAATAAAAGCATGTTTGAAAAATGCTTGGTAGCATTTTTTAACTTAAACAGAAAAAGTAGTTTGTTAAGAATATTTATTTCATTGGTATCTCCAGTAGTGGTCTGGCATTAACGTATTTGTTTGTATTTAATATCAAACGAATTTTTCGTTTTTGTATTTTGTAGATTGTATTTAATTTTTAAGGATCAATAATTGGCCCTATTATGTTACAGCAGCTGATGTTGCTGTGAATAAGTGCAAAATAAGTATTTTTAAACAATATGTGTTCAGGAGATGTTTTTTTTTATACATAAGAGGACGTCCATAAATTACGTCACACTCAAGGAAGGAATGGGAGGAAGAGTTGTGATTATGTGACGACTCGTTGGGGATTTGTTACTAAAAAGTTACGATGTGGCAAGGATGGGGATGGGGGGGGGGGGGGAAGGTTGGAAGAGAACGTCCAGAACGGTCAAAAATTGCCTTACGTAGTTATGATTACAGCTAAGCCATTATAAATTTTAATTTCTAATTCAATCAATATACAGCTTATATTGTAGTCAACTGTGTTAAACACTATCGAAAGATCAATGAATACCTTTAAAGTCCATTATTACCAAACCCATTTAAAATTTCGTTGATAAGTTCGTCTACAGCGCGTTCTGTTGAATGTTTTAAAAACTATATTTTTGAATTGTTTAATAGTTGGTGATTTATTAGATAGTCGTAAAATCTATTGTGCATTATGCGCTCTAATATTTTCCCCATCTATTAAAGACAGATTACAGATATGCAGAAAGGGATATTCAATTATATTCTAGATATTTTTACGACGATTGCGCCAATGTCATCAGGTCCTAGATTTTTTTTGTGTTATATGGTATTAAAAGCATTTTTAAGCTGTTCCGAAGTTATTTGAAGCTTGCCCATTCTAAGTCCTCTTTTTCTAGAAACAATTTATAACATTTTTTTCCAGGAGTAACTTTATCAGCTAGTTTTTCCCCAATCTATTAAATAATAATATTCAATTCAACGCTGTTACCCATTTAGAGTAATTGAGACGGAACTCACGGCAGCCATTGCTCTCGAGTTAATAACAAGAAAGAGTTGCAGCACTTTTTTATAAGAAAGTATGAACGAAAGTGTATGCAAATACCTAACTTATGTAAACTTCAAACTATAATGTTAAAATATACATCAAGTTTTACAGTTTTACTTTTACTTAAAAAATGTATTGTGGCAGCATCTCCTTAAATTTGAATTATTTAATTTATTTGCCGTTATAAAAATT